TAAAATAAAAAATTAATTATATAACAATTATAACCTTACAATGCGATAAAACATCATAATTATAAATCTTCATCCCCTTTTCTCTCCCTTCTCTCCTGTCTCCCTTCTCCAGCGTCGCGTTGTTTTTGCTCGGAAACCTTTGAGCTTCCGAGGTTTTGATGCTTGAGCCGCTGGGCTTCCCGGCCGCTTAAGCATGTTGGAGCCGCCCTGTGCTCCCTCCTCCTACAACCCTTTCGGGTCTGTCGGCTTTTGGGTTCTCTTTGGTGACCCCTTTGGCTTTCTTGTTTTTTCTTGTTGTTTTGTTTTACTTTATGTTCTTGTATAGTTTATGTATTTCAGATCTAGCGACCCTCGGCTCTATCCTGCAAATCTTGTTAGGTGCTCGCTGTTTTTGGTTTGCTTGCAGATTCGGCGGTGGTCCCCTCCATCCGGTAGTTTCTATTGGTGGCAGTGCACGCGGGAATCCCAGATTTGGCAACCTCGCGACCCACTTGCTGCCTCCAGGATCGGCCTTCGCCTAATCGGGACTCCACATCGACATCCTGGAGCCTGGCACACCTTCCACATGAGTAGATTGAAGGATGTCCCGTTTAGATCGCTCGACTAAAAGCCACTGTATAGCTGGGCCCTTAATGATTGTTCGAGTGTCATGTGCACCTCCCTTCGACTTCTGAATATGGGTCTATTTTAGTTTCTTGCTCCTGATGTAATTTTACTGTTTATTTTTTCTGTAAATGCAGTATAACGGTGTATGAAATGAACAAATTTCGTTATGTTAAAAAAAAATCATAATTATATAATTTCGGTAAAAAAATCTTAAAATCTCCCATCAAAAGGAAAAATATCTTAAATTCAAAAAAATGAAAACCACAAACGAAAACATAAATACAAAATTGAATAAACAAAAATGTCCCATCCCATTTCTTCTTCAATAATCAATCAGACCCACTTCAGCGGGTTGCAAGTGCAACCCAAAAACACAATGCTGCGTACTAATACAACTTCCTCTTCCTTCCTCATCTCCCGACCTTCCCTCTCATCCACCATCACGAAACTCCCTTTCCTGCAATTCCTACGAAAGCCCTCAACTTTCCCTCAGAATTCCAGACCCATTTCCCTCTACAGGTCCCCCATGAACATACTCAAGAACCTCGGCTTCGGCTCCCCCAAATCCGCCCCGTCCGTGGAGAATTCCGCCATCGCTCAGGGTCCGGATGATGATGTTCCTGCCCCAGGTCAGCAGTTTGCCCAGTTCGGTGCTGGGTGCTTCTGGGGTGTTGAATTGGCGTTTCAGAGAGTCTCTGGCGTGACCAAGACGGAGGTCGGGTACACCCAGGGGTTTGTGCATAATCCCAGCTACGAGGATGTTTGTTCTGGAACTACGAACCACAGTGAGGTGGTGAGGGTGCAGTTTGACCCCAAGGAGTGTAGCTATGAGAACTTGCTTGATGCGTTCTGGGCTAGGCATGATCCTACCACGCTTAATCGCCAGGTGGGTTATTTTCCTATTTGAAATTTATGAAATTTCCTTCGAATTGGAGGTATTTAGTGAAGAGGGTTTTGGGCAATTTTGGATCTTTCTGGGTTTTGTGGCTAGGGTTGAATTGATTTACCAGTGATGATATATCGTTCCTACTTTGTTATTTGATCGTATATTTTTATGATCTTTAGGAATAAAATGTTGAAAAAATTCAAAAATATTCCTCGGGAAAAATATTTGAAGAACATTCATAGATTTGGTTTTTCTTTGTCTCCTCCATCCTTTTTGGATGATACCAAAGGTTGCCTTGCCTAATAACCTAGTCCAAGTTAGAAGTTTGGATGCTTGAGTATTGGCTTCATTGACCAAGACCATATCTAAAACCAGCTAGATGGAGTATTAGACTACGCATTTCTTTGTGCTTAACTATACTAGAAACTTACTTTGGAAGCACTGTTCAACTCTGCAAAATCAAAATGTTGTGTCTATAAGCGATGAACTCTGCTTTAGTTATTCCTTGTGAACATTCATGTTTTCAGGGAATTAGTTTGTCTTAAATAAGTGACACTCCGTGGTTCTGTGCCCACTTGGGTTGATAAGGTGTTTGGTTTCATTGTGAATCACATGTATAATTGGTGGTTTAGGCGAGCAGTATGATGCAATCAACCCTGTATCACATATCATTGCTAATGCTGATAAAAAATATATATATCATTGCTAGATGAAACTCCTGCACACATATATTGGACCCTCACATTCAAGTGCACCCCAATAGCTAATCATAGGGACTGTTGTCTATTCAATTACCATGAAAAAGTTTATTAGATCTTATAATGAGCTAACTCTGGCATCCATCAGTTTACCATAACTTTTATGATCATCTTGGTCGAAATTGAATGGCTGCTCATTCTAATGGTTTGCCAATCCTTGAGACAGGGTAATGATGTGGGAACACAATACAGATCTGGAATATACTATTACACACCTGAGCAAGAGAAGGCGGCATTGGAATCCATGGAAAAACAGCAGAAGCTCTTGAACAGGAAGATTGTAACAGAGATTCTGCCTGCTAAGAAGTTCTATAGAGCAGAGGAATACCACCAGCAATATCTTGCGAAGGGTGGTCGTTTTGGTTTTAAGCAATCTGCTGAGAAAGGCTGCAATGATCCAATTCGATGCTACGGCTAAGTTGTCCATGTTAACAAGTACTATGAGATAATTATCAGTTTATACTTTCTGCCTTTTTTTCCTTAAGCTATTGTTATAGTGCTTTTTCCCGCTTGTAATTGGCAAGTGTGCCTGATATATGTAGTCTATGAACATGGATCTGTAATTTACTCTTTGTAGAGTCTTGACATCTATATTCTGTATATCTACTCTTAGCAGGATCCCTTATAAAACGTCAACTATGACAGATTATGGATTATATTTGTTAGCATGTTTGAAAACAAGACCTCTCTACCATGCAGGAGGTTCTTCAGCCAACATGGTCATCTAGACTAGAGGCAATGTAACGATAGAGTCACAGTATGCATTTCCATCTAATAGTTAATGACATGATACGAAATTCCTTGGATTTGGGCAAATTTTGAACGTTTCGTCTATCGTTTTTATTTTCATTGATTGATATCCATGGTTGAGAAGCTGTAAAACTCTCACACGTTGTGTGTCCAAGCTGCATGCAATTGTAGATGATTTATGGGATTTACTCATAGATCCAGGGACAGAGGCTGCTCTACCAGTTTATAGCACCATCAAGAAACCACAATGCTACTTCTTTTGTAGCACTCTCAACTTATACTGAATCACTTCCATGAATGGCAATGTTCCTACAGAATAATCCAGAAACAAAAATGTAGATACTAAATTAATGTTGGGACTATATTAATCTACGATTTGGACAGTCAATTCCATCATCAGATGTGTATGAAACTACAGTTTCTTCAGTCACGCAAGATATCATGTCCTGGACCGGAATTTTTATTTATTTTTGTTTTTTGTTTTTATTTTTTGCGGAACCAGAATTGATTCTGTAGATTTCGGAAGCCTGTCTGATTGCAATTTCAAGTTGGGCTTCTGGGTTTCCCACAAGCCCAAAGAAGAAGAAATTGTTCCTTCTGGGCTGTTGTTGATCTCAACACCTGAGGATGAGAATAGTTTTTTCTTTTTTCTTTTTTCTTTTTTTAATTATTATTTAAAGGGAAAAGAGAAAAATGAAGACGCTGAATAATAATTATATAATAAATTTAATAAAATTACGTTAATTTCAAGATGTTCTAATTTTTCTTTTCTTTTATTTAAATATTTTTAATAAAGCTCTTATACATATTAATTCATTGTTAACTGTCCTATGTAACATATTACTCCCTCGTTCAACTTTAGTGGGACTAGGCTTTTTTTTATTAATACAATTTTATATTTATTTTTTGTTAATCACTATTTAAATAAGTTTTTTTATTTAATATGTGTCATAAGATCTTTTTAAAATAAAGATAAAATATAGATAAATGCATAAAAAAACATTTTAGAAATTTAATAATTCAATTTAAATGCAATAAATTAAGAATTAAGATATAGAGTAAATTTCTCCACATTTTTCTTTATAACTGCATATTTGGTAACAGCATCTTAGACCTCAAAATAAAACAAATTACAACCGATTCATCTAAAAAAATTCACAATCATTTTCAAGTACTTTATAATCATATAGCATTGCAAAATTATTAAAAAAAAAGTCATATAGCATATTGCTTACGAAAATTTGCAGAATAATGTGAGATTGTTTTCATTAAAGTGATGATGATATCTAACCACAACATCATTAAAATAACTTCATATATAAAAGATCAACAAAATTTACCACCAGCAGCCACTAGTAGCCCCTTTTACCTTATAATCTTGTTGTTAATGATTTCTATATTAAAAAAAAAAAAGTTTCAAATACCTTTAGTTAATATAATCTTTCCATATAACAATTTTTTATTTAATCCATATAATTTACCTTTATTGGCGGCTAAAAACTGGGCATTTTCCATGTTACCATACTAGTTTATCTTTCTCGTGCACTCTTCAAACAAAATATTATGTGATGTATGTACTGTTGGTCTAAGTCTACAAGAAATCATGAAATTGTTGAAATGACTAATTGGTGGTTAACCAATTTGATCCTAACGTCACCAACTTATACATCTTGTCTGATAAATCCATTTGAATGAACCTAAAATCATTGATTCAAAATATGCTTTTTGTTATATTATTTATTTATTTATTCTAAAAAATTAACAAGTGTTATCAATAACTTAAATAATTCAGTGATGATTTTTTTTTACTAAAAATAAGATATTTTGATTTTGAATCATATAATATATAAATATGATAAAATAAGATATAAGAAATGGTTATCTCCTGTTGTATAATTAATATAAATAATAATAATAATAATAATAATAACAAGGTATGTTTGATTTAGTGGTACAAATTCTTTTCCTTCGTCACGGTGGTCATACAATGGTAACTATTTAATTTTGAAATTCACACCTTTAAATTTGAAGTTTGGTGGCCCGCATAAATAATTGAATTGGAAATTTACCTTTGGGTGTCTGATTACATGGTATCATACACATTTAAAGGAGTATCTAATTAATAAGAGTTTAAAATTTTAAATTAAGGATTGTATGTTTAAATTTTAAAATTAATTAATTAATTAAAATATTATTAAAAAATACAAAGAATACCTCAAATCCATTCTTCATCAACACTATATCTCAAAATAAAGACTTGCATTTTAAGGGCTACATTTGAAAATTGCAGCACACTATACTAGTCAATTGCTTTAGCACACTCCAAGGGATTACTTGATTATTCATGTAAAGAAATTAAGAAAATATAAATCCCCATTTGCCTTTCCTTTTAACCATAGAAATGTTCTAACTTGAATGGCTCGAAAAGGTGCTTTCCTTATATATTTTTAGCCACAATTTTTAGCAATTTATTTCAAAATTTCAATAATTAATGCAATATTTGAATTTTCAAAATAATCCCTTAAATTCTAAGGTGTGTGGTTGAAAATAAGTATAAGAGTTTGTTAAATTTACACTAATGTAAGTTCAACCTAATTCAAGGTTAAATTTATTGATAAGCAAGTGTCGTTTTATAAGAGATAAATTCAAAGTTTAAGTTTTAAGGTCATTACCAAAAGAAATTAATTTCATTAAATGCATCAGACTGATGTAAAGGACACACCTCTAAAATCATTGAAAAAGGAGTAGTCTTAAGGCGTGCAAAAGTTGATCTGAATACACCTTTACCACAAACACAAAAAATATAAGAGTAAGTTTTCATCCGTTAGGCTGGAGACACCCTTATTGCAAATTAAAAAATATAAAATAAAAAGTTCATCCCCTACTTGTAACAGCTGTGAGAGAACTACCCCATTATATGGTACATTATCATATGTAAAAAAGAAGAAGAAGAAGCTCAATTAAAAATGGCTTATTTTTTTTCTTTTTAGTACACATTGAACATTCTATTTTACCAGAATCCAATATTTGAGAAAACAAACGGAAGAGCAAAGCAAGTGGAAGACAGAGGTTGACCGTACTAATTAATTAAGCACCTAGTAGCAAGTAGCCATTCTGGAGAATTGAAAAGGGTCATGTAGCTTTGCATATGTTAATTCTTTCAAATTCGTTTTTGAATTGCATTTTTTCCATTCTCTTTTGGTGAAAATTGAATTGCATTTTCTAGAACAACCATTTAATATCATGATTTTGTTGGTGCAGCTACTGAACGCCATGGACTGAAAATGATTACTCAACCAATTTGATTTTTAAAAACATGGCCCAAAAGGTCCACCTATAGCTGAAACAATTCTAACCTATAGCTCAAACAATTCTAAGGACACGAGTGTTAGTAATGATGGGTGGCATTTTACTTTATAGTTCAAACATAATATCTCTTCAATACATGAATTGAAGTACTTAATAGTCAAGATATTCTTTGAAATTTAATAGAAGTTTCTATGACTTAGGTTATAATCTTTAGAAATTATAGATATAAATTGTAAATATGTGGTAGGGTGAATGAAAGACTCTCGTTTTGTAATATAAAATAAAAAAATAGAATTTAAATAATAAAATATTGACCATTAAATAAACAAGTTTTCTTTTACTATTAGGAGAAACTTTCTAATTTAATTATTAGTATTTTGTAATTTAATGAAATTTAAATTATAAAATACTTTTTTAATATAATAATCGAACTTAATTTTAACTTCATTAAAAGCGAGTAGAGAACATCCATACAACTTTGAATGTACCAAAAATAGCTAGATCTTTTTCGCAATTGCCTTTTCTTTTTAGAGGAAAAAAAAAAAAAGAAATAAGGTAGCTAGATTTTAGCTGGAAATGGTAATTTGATTGGTAAGAGAATATTCCATCTTATCAATGAAAATTCAATTGCAACCAAAAAAAAAATGAAAATTTAATTTTATAAGAAAGTCATAAAATGGTAATTTCTTACTAAACTTTTAAATTTAAGTGTGAATGTCCTATTTTTTATTTGAATTCACACAAATTGATACAAAATATTGTGTATGTCTGCTAAAAAAGAGGTAGCTTAAAGGTTGTAAAGAAAATACTAAGAAGTAATTGATTTAGTTTTTAGTGTCCCTAAGTCAATTTTTTGGATTAGTGGTTAATATACTTAAAACTAATTCTTTTTTATTAAGCTAAAAATAAATTATCTATTAACTTCAGATTTAAAAAATTCATGAGAAATTATTTTTTTATTAACTATTAAACCTTAATCAATAAAAGATAAAACAAATTTTCTTACCAACTAAATCACAATTCCTTCTTAATCAAAGCATAATAACATATGAACTAGATCACATTCCTAAACCAATGAAAATGAATTTCCTAATTAAGTAATTACAGGTGTATCTTTCTTAACCATTACTTCTTCAAACAGAATTGAAATAATCAGACCATAATTGTGCACGATCTTGATCAGATTTGGATGGTTTTAGAAACCATTTTCCATTGCCACTTACAAGTCAAATCTGCACTTTGATAATTCCAGCTAAGAACCATGCAAAATCCAGATCAATAACTCATGAATTCATCTGATCTGGAACATCATTTTAAAATTAGTGTAAAAAAAAAAAATTATTTAGTTTATCAAGACATTGTGATCAAACATTGGATAATAAGCTCACCATCACAGACAATCCAAGCTTAATTCACTGCATCTCCTTTTTGCTATCTAATTTTTTTTCCTGTATTATGAAGTATCTTTGAATTGTTTATAAGTATTAGATTAAGTTTACCTTTAAGTAAATTATTCACTCTCTAAGGACCTAGCATAAAATTGAATCCATAGCTGCTTGATGACAAAAGACAACAAACATTACATTATATTAAAATATTAATTGCTCTAGGAGAACCCCATCTTTTCTTCTTTTAGAAGTCAAGTTATTTTG